TAAGTTTACGTAATTTTAATTACAAAAGGCATTAACCTACATTTTAAATTTTGTAATTATCTGTAATAAAAAATACAGTAGCGTCATTTTCTGATGTTAATTTTAGAATATAAGATTATGTTACGTTTGACAAATCGAGTTACTAGCAATTAATGAGTTTCGATAATTAATTTATTCAGATTTGGCTTGATGAATAAAATTTGGTAAAAAAAAAAGAAGAAACCTAAAATGTATCGAGACACAGATCGGCATCGCCTCTCCCATGTATTACATAACAAATTGCCCGAGCATCTCGTATATCCGCATTTATTCAATAAATAACACTTTCATAAATTCAACGATTTATTGCTGGGCCGGCGGTGACCCCGGTGATCCGATACACCATACCCGTGATTAATTATCCGATTCATTGTTCCCCGGCGAGAAACTATGTCCGCTATCTAACACATCTGGTCTGATAACGGAACGAAAGGCTTGCGGACCGCCGTGCCGGCGTGTGTGTTCGTGTTACATGTGTATACGGCGGCCGTAGTGATAGGCAGATAAATGGACGCTGATAAATGCGCGGGAAAGGTGGACGAGGGAAAGGTGGAGATATACATATACAGAACGGAGACACACGCCCGGTTATCGGCGGATCGACGTCTGCCACGAAGACGAGGACGACGGAGCGTTTCGCAAGTCGGCGTCATACGGCGGTAGCCGGAAAAAGGGAGAAAAACCGCGTAATGATTTTATAGTCGGGTGAGAGAAAGATACACGCGGAGGACTGGTCGGGAGAGTGGATAGGATCTTAAGAACGTGATCTGGGCTAATCCGCTTCTCTCTTTCGTTCTCCTGGAACGGATACGATCAAGGTTCTCCGAACCCAACGTCATTTCATGCATCTCGCGTATGCACGTGGTTTGCGCCGCAGCGTGTTTAGCAATCTTTTACATGAACGATTGGAAATCGGTTGTCGTAAAGTAACTATGCAAAGTTGGCGACTTTAGCTCGATTTTGAATTACGAAAATCAAAAGATCAATTCATCTAGAAAGGTCGTAAACAGTATTCTTCAAATCTAAAATTATTCGAAGAATATTTCTTCAAATACTTTTTAGAATGTCATTTAGAAGATGCTTTTAACATATAAACTAATAGAAATTACGAAATAATACTAATATATGTAATCAATATCTTGAAATTGCAAAATTATTCTGTCACTCAAGACACAAATGTTTGATATCCAAATATTTTCTTCTTCGGCAAATAACATAATCGTACACATTCGTATAAAATTTTAATAACATCATAAAAATACAAGCAAATTTACACAGAGTAAATCTGAATCGTAATAATAAATTCTGAAAAGAGCAGTCTCTTGTAATTTCGCCTTTCTTGTGTCGCATCAATTTATTATAATCTTTTTTTTCGTAAATTCTTACGTGAGTACGTATTTCAATACCGAGACAACAATGAACGGTAGCGATGGACGGCGTACATTACTTGTGTTCGCGAATGCATTCATGCATGAATAATAGTTACCCGCGTACGTTCATCTACTGTACGAATGGCGTTTTCGATGATGTGTACGGTGCTTTTCCGCGAAGCTGTATCGCGTGTTATCCAGCTACGTGACGAGCGTGTGGTGGTTGAATCCCCGAGGACCTTGAACGCGATTCGCAGCAGTTTTCCGATGCGTAATTTATTCTCATTCGGTAATTCAATGACAGTGAATTTGCTCGCGAGAGCTAGATATCTGTCTTTACGAATCCTACTCGTATTCCGTATTTAAGACTTTCTACGTGATCTACATATGATGAGCTTCACTGCAGTTGCTTCACAGCAAGACTTGATAATTTACAGTTCGCTCTAAATTGTACATCGATAACTTTTATATGTATAAATAAATGTATTCTTGTCATCAATTTTATATATATGTATATAATATCTAAATCAAATTTAGTCGCTCATAGTACTAAATGTAAAGTGTGAGTATTTTCTAATCTATTTTGTGCACGTGCGTGGTGCCATGAGTTTTCATGTTTCCAAATCGAATCGTTTATTCCTATACGACGAAATAGGAAAAGGTCTCTCTTTCTATGAGGAAGCTAATGTTGCACCCCTCGGTGGATGGGAGTATGGGAGAATTTCGAATTCACTTGGTGTACTCGCGCTTCCCTCCCGCGACTTTCGAATCTCGCTTCGACGTGTTCGCATTCCCGGGGCCAATGAGGAGAGATCGGGCACGTTAGTCGCGGCGAGGAGGAAGAAAAAGGAAGCACCACGCCCAAGGTACGTGGCAAGAACGCAGACGGGCGTGTTGGTGCCCACGTCCCTACGTATACATCCGCGCGAGCGAGCGAGCGAGCGAGCGAGAGAGCGTGTGCCCATGTACTTCGCGTGTGCAAGTACTCTCCCTGCTCCCTGCCTTTCCCGTCCTTCTAGTCCCTCCGTCCCCCTTGGTCCCCTCGGACCCCCTTCGCGTATCACGTGTACACCGGCGGCACGAACGCTACCACGTCCTCAAATTGAGGCCCCGGAGAAAAAGAGATGCGTGGCCTCACCTCGATCCTCACCGCCCTCCCCTTCCCGTTCCCCTTTTCCCGGCCGCTCTTTCTCTCTCGCTCTCTCTCTTTCTGAGGCTAAAGGAAAAGAGGAAGAGGAGGAGGAGGAGGAGGAGAATGGGGAGAGCCGGTGGGGAAATGCGAGGGGAGATCGCCGGGGGGGACGACGAGGCTGTCGTGGCATAAGGAAGAGAGGGGACGAGGAAAGAGGAGAAGATGGAAGAGACTGAAGGCTAAGGCGCCATGTTGGTGGCGATGACAAGAAAGCCAGTGCGCGACGGTAGCAGGGCCAAGAGTGCAGAGGCAGAGGCGCTTGGTCGAACGCCTTGATTGGACGATTACGGATTATGCACGGTGCCTGCTGAAGAGCTGCACCGATCGCGCGCGGCGAACATTCTTCGTTACGTGGCCGCGGAGATGCTGAGTGTTTGTGACAAAAAATAGAAGTCATTCTCCCCATTTTTAGAAAGAAAATTTACGGTGGTATCTAATGTGAAATTCAATTGCTTCATCGTAGATTTTTGTATTCGCCCGAGAGGAAAAATCTAAGATTTCACTTTTACGATGTTTTCGAATAAAATCGTACATACGATTGACAATATGCCGAACTTTCGTATTTTTATTAGTTTGCGTCAATTTGGGCCGGACAGAAATTAAGTATAACGGATTACATTTTGTACAGAAGATGCAATAGATAACTTCCGGAGGTTTTGTAATTTAATTTTCCATCCCCGACCGCGCGGCTACCGTTGATTTCGAACGACCGTGTTTAGTAAACAACCAGACGCCGACTGCTCATCAGGTTGCGTCGCGCTCGATTCACTCGCTCACGAGGGGGGAGAACAACTCCCGCGGTGCTCCGTCTAATGAAATTATCCGGTCCGGGACCCCCTGCAACGACATCAACCAGCTACGACAGCCAGTTATCCCATGATTACGCGATACACAGTTACGCGCCGCGCCACGACGATTGTGCACACACTTCTTCGAGGGGTGAGGAACGCACAAAGAGCAACCGCGAAAATTGCTCCATCTCGTCTCGCATCAGTCAATGAAACGCATAATTTCGTGTGAAGGAACGTGTAATCCCGTCAGACCGCACACACAAATCGATAGCAATGTATAGAAAAGGAACTGAACTTTACGATGCTTGGCGCCTTAATAAATTGCTCGTTGCGCGAGCCGATCCGAATAAATTTGAATTGTTCCCCGCGAAATCGTCCTAATTAAGTCGCGGACTTTCGGCTCGTCGATAAATCGTCACCTCCCCGAGAAATCTATAACGGACAAGTTCGGTGCCAATTAACTCTTCTCTCCGATTATGTAGCTCGATCTTCCTAATAAATCGTTAATTGGAAACCGCGCGACGGATAATTGGCGAAAAATCTTTCTCGCCGACGAGCGCATAAAGCCCCGCCCGCGTGGAAAGCTCGCGCAAAACTCGCACGATCGCCGGGGAGAAAATTTATGGCCGTCTCGTTAGTCCGGAAACTTGTCTCTTTCGTTCTCTTTCCCTCCCTCGGTACACTGGACACTGGCGGCAACCCTATCCCCGATGTCCAGGGCGTGGCGAATCGGTGATTTAGTAAAGTCATTTGTGCCGATAATGCTGACAGATGCCGTTTATCGGAGGCTCCCGTTACCGCGGACCGACCCACGCAACTGGATCCGTCCATCGCAAGGGAAAAAAAAATCATCATCATCGAAAAAGATTATCATGCCGTTTCGATGAAATTCAAAATTCTAATCGTGACGCGAGACTCTCGTATAATTAGCAAGGCAAATATTATATACGATGTGTTGTCGTTCGCACGAAATTTACTTGTTTACTCGATTTCGAGAAACCTTTCCGATAATATTTGATAATCCATATCGGAGTGAAAAACCTGTTCTTGGCTCGCGGAAATATATCCTAGATATTTTATCATTCGGCGCAACGGATTGTCAACACGGTATATTGTATCAGCTACAACTCAAATCATTTCTAGGTAAAATATGTACGAAGAGAAAATTTCTATGTTACGATATATATTATTTTGATCACTTTTTCTCTAAATACATATAATAAATACTCGCAGGACCTTTTAGACATACTTTGTCAAATTAAAATCCTGTTTATATGTATATAAAATAAAAATTCAAAATTAAATAAAAACTTATTTCTCGCCAATTATCCTCAATGATTTTCGTCCATATTAAAATAAACGATCACATTCTACTAGCCATTCTACTGGATTAAATATGCCAAAGTGCGCAAAATCCGGAAAGCCCCCTTACATTTGCCACAGCCCCATATATGTTTGCCACGGCAAAGTATTGTATTTTGTGCTTATCGCAATTTCTTTACGCCAACCTGTCACGAGCGCGAGATAAGAGCTACTTATCGTTACACGACTACGTCGTGGGAAGCTTGCGCTCTAGTCTGCTGGTCTTAATGTCGATAGAGAACTTGCCTGCGTTTGCGTGAGTCCGAGGCTGGCCGCGAGCTCCGCTCTTTCCGGTAGCGCGAGGTACTGCGTTCTCTGAAACCGCCTGTTGAGCTGCTGCAATTGCAGGCTGCTGTAAATCGTCCTCGGTTTCCTCATCTTCTTCCCCTTGCCGTTCCTGAGGGAACCGCCGCCGCCGCCGCCGAGCTCGTCGACGAGGCTTCCGCTTTTATCACCCAATGGCGAGAGGTCTGCGAACATGCACCACCCTAACATCAACTTTCAGAATCCTCATCACTGCTCGCGTACGAACTAAAAATAAAATTAAACTAAAACCTGATCCACAATTTTGACCCGAATTCGGTATTACGCCAACAGGAGATCACCGATGGCGGCTATTGATTTCTTTGACTTTAATAAATTTACGATCACGATGGACATTTCAAGGAGACATGTATAATGCGAAAAAGTAGAGAAAGCTAGCGGGAAACGGATAAAAATATTTGTAAAAAGAAGTTATAAATATTTTTTCATACGAAGAAACTTTAGTATAGATACAACAATAAAATGGTTGAGATTTTGTAGTTAACAAAATTATTTAATAAAGCTATACAATTAAGAATTTGAATTACATTTGATAAATTTATATAAGAAAAGCTTCATTTAAGTGAAAAAAAAAAAAGAAAATACTTCAAGCAAGAAACAAATTGTCACTTCATTAGTTTTTTCTTTAAAGATGCTTTTTCTTTTTCGTCTGTTTTTCGCGATAAAGCATCACATTATACGGGTAATTAAGTCGTTTTTCTGATCAGACGATTCCGAACGATCACGTAAAATGTAAAGACCGCTGAAACAGGAGTCGAGGAATCTTATCGAATCGAAATTAACGGAAATGACGCGTCGTTTTATTTTTTTTTTCGAAAAAACAGAGAAAGAAAAACAATAGAACAAACACAGAATATTTTATTCGACAAGCCGCGCGTAATTATCTGATAAAATAAATGCATTATTCAATTCATATACAATGTATTGTGATAATTAGTACAACGTAGAGAATGCGTGCTCTCGTTACGTCGAAAGAGAGTTGCGAGAGAAAGAGGGAGAGAGAGAGAAAGACCTACAGTGCGTTAACGGCGCGGTAATTAATTACGGAGCCATATATCAATCTTAAAGCGATGCAATGAAGTAGCGTAGAGCTCGATAGAGGTGCGCATCGTGCCAGCGCCCGCGCCCGCCTATCTCGCGCGGAATCTGTTTCATTATTTTTATATCGCGATTACGACGGTTGCGTGTTTTCATCGGGGAGACGCGAGTGGCCTTCCCGGGAGAGAGAGAGAGAGAGAGAGAGAGAGAGAGAGAGAGAGAGAGAGAGGGAAAGAGAGGAGAGCCACGGACACTTCTTTGCATCACGACGGTAGGCTCGTTTTGTCGTCTGCGCGAATGAGACAGGAAAGACCAAAAGTCGAAGAAACAGAGAGATATCGATGCCCGAGACTTTGGGATTAGCGATGCGTCGATTTGAACGCGAGAATTCCCTCTCCCCTCAGCCCCGTGACAATTAGCACGGCTATCAATTAATTATCGTAATTTACGGCGAGTTGCGCCGGATCCGCTCACGCGCGTATACGATTTCTCATGATTTATACATGAGTACGTCACATCGATGGAGGATCGACGAGACGCGGATCGATGGAATCAAACACAGAGAGGCTCTGATCGCCGCGTAAAAGAGACAATAATGATCCCCCATAAACTTTCCGCGAAGTTACGTTAGTCGCGCCGCCGCCGCGGCGATGCAATCGCGTGTTTGCGCTCGTGTTTATTTTCCCCGTGCAATTTCGAAGCGATACTGGGCGTGTGTGCGATATTCAATATCCGTGTAGGCGCCCTCAACTCTTTGACGTTACAATTCAACTCAATGAGAATACGGCAAAGAGAGTAGATTCAATTGCTAATACTTTAAACATGACATTTACTTTTCGTTTTTGACAAAAAGTGAATTCAAACACTTAAAAGCCCTTCAGTAAGACAGCTATAATACTACATTTGTAAATGTCATTTTCATTCATTTAAGATAAGATTTGTTTCATCAGAATAACTGCAGTTAGAATCAATAATTATTGAATTTAATAATAATTATTAATAATAATTAAAAATAATCAAGAGACGATAGAAGAAATTGAAAGAAATAATATGTACTCTATGTACTTTATAAATTCTTTTATCAATTATTCCTTATAAATGCAAGAACGTTTCGCAATTAATCTCAATCCCTTCGTCGCTTCTATCACGGTGCAACAGTTAACACTGTTGCGCTGGTGTTCACTGCACAACATAGTCCGCAATAAATTTTATAGAGGCGTTAGCCGCGATTACGAGCTCCCGTTGTTAATTACAGCCGATTAGGGCGACGCGAAGTCGACGGGCGGGGTGTAACACCGCGTGAAGAGACGAAGGTACTGTTTTATGGATGCACTTTTCTCTCCAGCGCCGTTCTCTACGGGGAGCTCGCGCTGCGAGGGGTTAGGGATAGAGAGGCTAGGGTTATGGTTTTTTAACACAGGCGTAACGCAAAGTGCGCGGCGGCAGGCAGAAACTACTGCAAAGTAGCACTTTGCGCGGCGGTATACGCGGTATTCAGCCGCCTCGCATCGCTAAAGGTTCTTTTAGAGAAGTCGCGTAATCAAACCCCAGCCGAACGTATGATAATAAGCCCACCGAGCGATTAATGCGACGTTGATAATCACACGGTAGGCGCGCGCGGCTCTCAATCCAAAGAACTCGAAATTACAAGGTGTCCGTCTCTGCCCTAGGCTGGACTTTACGCAGCCTGTCTAACATTGTCGCTGTATACCGACATCTTGTATTTCCACATCGCGCTACCACATCGCGCGCGCGAAACGATGAAAAAGCTCCCCGGATTTCATTTTTGTATTTCGACGCATAACTCGGAATGAAAACACATTCCTCTCTTTTCAGCCGGAGGCTGCTATTGAGAAATTCGTATAAACTATTCGAAAGGTTCGGAGTTGGATAACTCAAGCATAACTCATAATTTCTAAATGAGCTGTTCTATTACATGTAATTTAATTTTTTTTTAATCAGAAGTTTAATAATCAGATTCGAAAATAAATAAATAAATATATTACAAGTATTTTATTTAATTAAAGCTTATCTATAGTTCTCTCACTGTTAACAATAACTATGCGTTATCCGCGTGTCAACACAGGACTAGTTTAATAAAATCCATTTATTGAAATTATCGTGTATGTTTTCATTAAACTTATCCACTTATAAATTCTAAACACCTGTCGTTATTCTAAGAATTTAAATCTGGATATTGCGAAACAAATGGCCACAAGAATATCTTTAGGAAAGTATCTCTAGAAGAATATGATTTTCGAGTATAAATTCGAGCATTTCATCTGTATAAGCATCGAAGAAGTTTGAAAAAGGCCGGGTCGGCGTGCTTTTCAGGTCGATATATCTACCTAATCCTTGTGAAAACAACCGTTTAATACCTAATCCATCACTCGGACCCGGGGCACGCATTGTCTTTCGACCGTTCCGGATTAAGTCGGGCGGCGGTCGGACGTCAGGTGACTGATGCGAGATACCGTGGGGGCCCCCGTATATACGTCTGATACGAGAGGAGCCCCCGCTAATTGGATTCCCAGCTTCAGCCACGTTCCAACGTTCGTTCGAAGGGAAAGAAGGACAACGGGCGTGACGTCGGACGCGCGGACAAGCCGGTTAATGGCCGGTTCATTTGTCGCGACGATAAGATTGGTCGAAGGTGCGCAAAAGGCGCATCGAGTATACCTATATATACTCGCCGCCGCGGATACTCGACAAGCTGCGTACGGCACGGACGACCTCTCCTATACGTTCTCTCTCTTTCTCTCTCTTTCGCGACTCCTCACTGATGCTCGTATAATCCCGGACAGCTTCATTAGCGCTGGTCGAACTGTAGTCTAAGAGCGTTTAACGTCGCGAACAACCGCGATAATCGCGACGTCGCCGCCGAAGCACAACTCTGCACCTACGACTCCTAACACGAGCCGACTTCCAAGGAAACGCTTGTAATTGCACCGACGTTACAATCGCGCGAGTTTATACGCGCGTTTGATTGCGAGCAAGCGTAATAACGAGAGTGCCTCTTATCGAGAGCACGTGCGCGTGTGATGAAAAATTTCATCGACGACACATTTCGACATTTTAGGATAAGTGATACTCCGATCGTTTCACTAACCGATCGTTCGCGTACTAATGTACGCTTATAGCCTCGTAGATTTTATGTTCACATTTCATGCGTGACGATGCAATGATCAAGAGATTGATCTTGCGAGCGTCGGAGCTATAAGTGCGGACGATTTTGTTATAAATCACTTTTATGAAGGGCATTCTACTACAGTTTACTCACGCACGCGCGTGAAAGGTATAGTGATAATATTTTATTAGCTAAACACTTGCGCAATATATATGGCAGTTCGCTAAACTGTTTGTATTTTAAGCTTACAATATTATCCACTTCATTTGTTTGTCACCGCAAGAAAAATGCGAAGAGTACCTGTTGATTGTGTTAATCAAAATAATATTTTATTGATTTCTACTTTTATTAATTATTTTCAAATTAAATTAATTAATGATATTAATGTTACTAGAAACACGTATTTTGAAGAAGGTTTAGTTGTGCAAAAATTATGTATTTTTGACGTTCTCAATCCTTAATTAACACATTAATTGATCAACAAAGTCATTGTCAACATTCTACTTCGGATAATGTTTAAATAATATTAATTTTAAAATTTTCATAATCGTACAATTATTTTTCAATTTAATTTTAAACAATTATATGATAAATTGTGATTTTAAGTCCGAGTGTTCCGAATTGATTGCGCATAAATGCGCATTTATTACAATTTAGGTATATAGTAAATCTCGCAATTACCGCGTCACTGTTATTTCAATCAAAATCGTTCTGAAACAATCGCAAATTAACTTTGCGCACCGTACTCTCCAGGACAAATGCTCGGAAGCGCTCTGAGTGGAATATACAAACAGTGGCGTGCTCGTTAGCAGTTAGACGGATCGTCATTGTGACTTCATATTTTCGATTAATTAAATCGACATAAATGTGAATGTCGCATTCTCTCTGTGATATCGACTTTACATACTCGTTTGCGTATATACTCGCTTCTTCATAATGTCTCAGAAGTGGTAAAAGTTGATAATGTGAGTACTTCTGATGAATATCTCTGAGATATCATCGCAACGATACGTAACTGTCTTCTCTCTATCAGAAACCCGGAAAAACTTTTCCGTAGAAATACTGGAGTTATATCAACCCTTTTCCCTGAAGAAGTTTCTGCGATGCAGCTCGCGAAGCAGATCGAGGATATGCATTTCGTCGCTGTGCGATTTATGAAAAAGCGAGCCGTGCATAAGTTGCGAAGGAAAAAAAATGACCGGCAATTTAAGGAGCGAAATGCAAGTTACCGTACGCGTAGCAACTCCTCCGACATGCGTGAGAATTCAACCCCCTGACGAACGACGATCCGGCCGGCGCCACGATCATTTGCTAGCCGTGGCCATGCAAAAATTGCACCGCACCCGATGGCATGCATGCGGATTCCTCCCGTTGGGAGGAAAAGTTCGCCTCTCCCGTCGGCGAACCCTTTCACGGCTTTCGTCGGGAGATCACCGGTAATTTTCAAGAGAAGCGCCACGAAAATTGCCCGCGCGTCGAGAAGCGGAGGGTTGCCCTCCGCGGTGGATTACGCAGAAAATGCTGGGCTTCTCCCAGAGAGAGGTTGCCCGCGACCGATGGACACGCGGCAGTCGTTACGAATTCATGGGCCGCGAATGGAGGGTGGCGAACTGTCGCCGCGCTATTCGGTCGGTTATGCTCCTGCGAGCGTTTGCCTAAGCGCGCCAACGCGAGTTCCTCGTTGCTCTACACATTGCGCGCGCGCGCACGATGAATTATTCGCCGAATGTTGCCACGGCTTCAGAATATTTCCAGGCGATTACTCCGGACTATATTTGAAAATGCGATCGACCAAGAAAGCAGCAGCGAATGTCGCTGCATGGAGCCTCACGGCATGCCGACTTCCTTCGGTGAAATAAGTTATCTCGATCACGCGATTTCGCGATGCGGATGTGTATATATAGCCGCATTGTGTTTAGACCCACTGTGAGAGAGCTGTGCGCTAGATGTATATTACAGACAAATAAAATAGAAATTTCCATAAGTTAACATGATAACCCGTCATCGTTGTAAACAATTTAAATTAAGTGTGCATTTGTTGTTTATTATAAATCTTCTACTGTGTTCTCCTTCGTGCGTGGAAAGCCTAATTAGTATTCCGAGATAACTAGCTTTTTTCGAAATCTAACGATAACGAGTTTAAAAAGACATTCTAAAGTTAGTTATCGTAACATCGTGCGGTGCCTTGAGCGATTCCGCGATCCACGACGAACTCGGGGCGAATCCGATAATGATCGTAATTAGCTCTGACTTCGCGATTTCGCGCGTAAAATAAAAGTCCGCGATTACATCGTGCTAATGCGATTCCGGAAGGTAAAAACATGAGAGAAGAAGCGAAGTGATCGAAACCCCCATGAGCAAAAGGAGCTTCCCGAAGGTGAAGTCGCAACTGTAGCTCCTGTTTGATCCCGAACCTTTTTGTCCCGTTCGTTAGGCGCTTTGCGGGAGTTTTTATGGTCTTCGAGCGAATTCTCGGTCATATATCTTATTCCGTTTCGCGGCATTGTGCGACGTAGCATAGGTAGAACGCCGACCGAGCTGCTACCTGCTACTCCAGATTCTTGGGATACGTTTAGACACAGGAAAGAGAAAGTTGAGAGTATTTATTTTGAACTCTGTACCGATGCCTTTATTTGCCCAGTATCTTTCACGTTCTATATTTTTTAGACTTTCTTTTTAAAGTTCTTTTTAAAGTTTTACAACCAGAGACCAGAATTATGTGACAAAAAACTTATAATGTCCTCGTACCGTACATTTTTTAGAAAAAGTCCGCGTCAAAGCAATCAGTGAGTAACTTTTGCGAGTAACTGATTCGACAAATTTGGCAGGAGAAAACAACCGTAAACAACGGGCCGAAAATCGAGAGGGCGAATTGCGGTAAACGTTGACCGTTTCGCTTTTTTTACACCGGCGGCGACGGCGGAGGACCGCCATCTGATTGTGCTTCGCGTCGCGAAGCCATAAGCGTTCCCCACATTTGTCGTCGCACGGAAATTTACTTGCGCGGATGAAGACATTCGCGGCGAGCGGCAATAAAGTCCTATGGCCGTATAAAAAAGTTCGCAATAATAAAGCGCTCGCGCTGCGACGCGAGATATACAGGTGACCCACCGGAAACGCCTGTCGCCGTCTTATTTCGCCTCGTGTCAAGATGACCGTATCATTCTTGACAAATGTTACAACGCCGGCACGATACTCGCGACTTCGCAACTCGAAGTTGTCCACGTATTAGTCGCACCGATGATGAACGACTTCGAAAGAGATCACTATATTTATTTATCTACATCTAAAATGTAAGGCTCAAGATGAATATTCAAGCTAACATTTGGAGCTTTTTATTTCGAGTCGTAATAATATTTTTTCGCCGCAAAATATGGCATTAGAACTTCTGATTCGTTATTGGCGGATTATTTATTATCAATTTTATACAAATGAATTTTACACTTTTGCGGAATTTTTATGTACATAATTGGCCCCTATTCTGTAATTTTTACGACAGAGTTAATATCATTATATTGTCGTTGCGCAATTATTTTACCATATATAATATGGTGAAAAAGCGAAACGATAATATCGACAATGTAATTAAGAATTACAGAAGTTAGAAGCCAATATCATGAATTTCACGACGCGCGCGTATCGTTGATGCACGAGCACATTTTCGCCTTGAGCCTTTCGATGATATCTCCGTTCCCACTTTGCACTAGCACTCGCGCAAACAACACTCCGAGATTCACATTGACGTGACGAGCACAAAATGAATTTCGTTACATTATCATACTTTTTCGCGATTCCAGGCGTCGGCATGGAGCACTGATCCGAGGCGGCGAGGCGCCGACCGCGAGAAACGGAGATTTCACCGATTCAACTAGATATCTAAGTAATCTAAGAGTAGGAATAAAAAAGGCTGCGAATACATACAGTTGGGGTACTCACCGTCCTTGGGCGGCGAGGGGCACTGGGGGTACGTTCCGATGTGGTATCCGTAGGCGTTGTGCTGGTGCATGGGCGCGAACGGATATCCGGCCAGCGATCTGGGACTGGGAAAGCCCGCGTCCGCGTGCTGCTGATTCCCGCTGCCGGGCCCGGAGCCCTGATGCGCCGCCAGCGAGCCGACCTGATGCGAGAACTGGTGCGCGCCCGGTACGTTATGCCCACCCGGGTAACCGCTCCGCAGACTCGTCGGATTGTAGAGGTTGTTGTGCTGGAGTTCGATGAAGGCGGACTTGCCGCTCTGGGAGACCGGCGTGCTGGAGGTCGTGCTGTCACCGCCGTTACCGCCGGGTGGGCCAGGCGTCACCGAGCCGAGACCCGCGTGATGAAGATGCTGCTCCATGTCGGAGCCGGCGCCCCCGGTACCGGCGGCACCACCGCCGCCGCCGCCGCCACCACCGCCGCCACCGGTCGGTCCACCGCCGCCCGACATGCTATTCGGGGTCGGGGTACTCGACGGACAGGGGTCGCCCGCCCCGAATGGGCTCCCCAGATCCGTGAAATTGAGCGTCGTCGTGCTGCCCGGACGCTCCACCTTAAACACAACGTCAATGCCGCCGCCACAGCCTACGGTCCTCGATGCCGTCGCCGAACTCGCCGACGACGTCGTCGCCGCCGCGACCGTCGCGTGCCCTCCGTACGGGGCCCGAATTTTGAGACTTCTCTCAGACGATGAGCACACACTTAGCGGCGTGCCCCCGTACTAGACTAGGTCGACCGAGTCCTGGCGGAATAAGTGCGGAGAGTCGTCATCGGATCGCGGAAGAGTTAACACCTCTACCCCGTCGGGCGTTTCAATTCCAGCTCCGTTCCGGAGTTTTTACACTGCGGCAAAGAAGACGTCGCTCGATCGCTCGCACTGGACTTACTTTCGTCAAGTTGCACTATCACGACTGCTGGTTCGTTTTCCAGGGGATGGGGGGATTCACTGCGACATTCACACTTTCGGCTATTCGCAAAGCGGTCTTTGTTGCACGTATCCGTCGCCGTTTACAGGCCTCACGTTTGCTTTTGTTCAAGTTCGGACACCACTTGTCACACGTCCACTTCACACGCGTAGTCCTCGCGGAAACACTGTATCTCGAGCCGAAGGTGTCCCCGGGGTCGATGCTTACTGTCCGGTTGCCGTGCGTCAGCTCGTCGTCGCTCGGCCTTCAAACGGAGACGCGCCGCGACGGCGTGACCAGACCGTCGGCATATCGGTCCTTTTCACTCACGTTACCAACATATGCACCAAGTCGCGAAACGTCACTCGATCACTTTTCAACCACAGTCTCGGACTCGTTGAACGAACGTCAACAAACGTTGTCGCGCCCACAATGGTCCGCGATCATCCGCGCAATTCGTTCTGCACGACCGGACCCGAAAATCTATTGCTGTCGTGTATCCCAACACTCGCGTTTTTCGTCGCCGATTTAATTACACCGCCGTATTACAACGCGACACAAGCGCGCGCTCGCGCACCTCCTCGGTGACGATATGGTTTTTACACGCGTCGTGCCACGATTACTTGGCCGATGAGCGTATCGTGCACGCTCGACGTATACGCGGACGTAACCGGCTGGACGAAGAAGGTAAGGGAAGAAGAAGACGACGACCAGGGCGTAGAAGAAGAGAGAAAAGCACACACGCGCGCCTGGTTCCAGTAACTGCAGTGCACACCGCGCGGCGCGGACCGGTATAATGATACATAATGAAGCCGGAGCCTCTCCCCGGAGCCCGGTTCACCGTTTCTGAAAGTCGCCGCGGTGGCGCTACTCAAGGCCACGCCTATGACGAGCGTCATCCGCGTTCACGATTGGCACGTCGTGCTGCTCCCCTCCACTTGTATATGAAATCCGCAACCGCGATTGGCGTCGCGGAGGCCATTATGGTATCCGAGTGGGTGTCGCTGGAGAACAACTACGCCCATGTACACCCGGACACCCTCGGGGCGACCGACAACGCGGAGGTGTTCTGTATACCTGGGGAAGTCCGTTCGTTCGTCGCGCGTATTAGGTCCAACTGATATCGTCGGGGATATACTCGAAGACCTATGAGCGACATCAGCGAGTTACGCATCGCAGAATTGCGTTTGTTATCCTTTTCGACTCTTGCTTGATTCATTGACTAAATCGCACTATCAGACTCACTGTGACAGGAGGTGAGAGACGAGTGACATTCCAATTGTTGAGTACTTGACTTTTCGATTGTTAAGAGTTGAGTTGAGTTTAGATGAGCCGATTGTTTGTGGATACTACCTACTCTTCTGAAGCTGATTGTCTTGGACACGAGCACAGAGTCTACTAATTTTTGGAGCGATATCTTTTTTTTTTTAATTTTGTTTATTATCTTATTTATTTTCGACGAAAATACAGTTGCATTGACGTGTATTCTGTTTTCACGCACTGTCACTTGTTTTTCGAGAAAATTTTTTTACTTCTCAAAAAAATTTATAAAAATTTTTTTAGATCTTTGGTCTCTTAAAATTTATAAACAGAATTGCATTCCCTTTTTTATTTATTGAAAAGTATAAAATGATCGTTAATATATATATAATTTATTAATTTCTTTTTTAAGTGAAACGATATAAATAAAAAATAAGTTTCAACTTTCACAATCTTGTTTATCTTTATCAAAACTTATATATAGATCTAATTCTTATTTTTATTCTAATTTTTTTAATTCTTAAATTACCTAGTTGTATTTTGCTTCTACTTTTTCTATTGCTCAATAAACATATATGCACATGAAATGTTACGTAAATATGTAGGTCCACAATGTATATGTATACTAAACTTGAGAGAATAGAATCAATAAATGATTGTGCGGATCAATTATCCCTGCAGAAAATTTATTAATTCTTTCAGTGCTATGGACACGTTAATACATCCAGCAAATAGTGCACTTACGCGTCACACGACAGTATTTTTTATAAGATATAATACTTTTTATTTTTAAAACACATATAATACATTTAATTTTAAAAAGTGTTGTAAAAAAATATTCAGCACTGAGACGCGCCACAGGCAGTAAAGTATTCTGCACATACACGACTCATTATTGTCAGTCATCAAAAGTATTTAATATTAAAAAGGTTAATGTCAGGATAGCTTGTAGTCTGTGACCTGACCTGTATTGGAACATGATTTTCTTTAACTATTTATCTAGATTAATCATTAAAATTGGGGCATTCTTGGTCTAGAAAAAATTTTGGCAGATTCTGGTTTCTCAACTATCGGCTGATCGCGCGAACGTTGTCGCGACACTTTGGCAGCAAAGGACCTCCTTTGCTCCGCCCATTAAATCCACCACGAAGGGCGTCTACTCTCAGCAGAAGATGGAGTGTAGGAAAGGAGCAATATTTTTTTCCCCTCTTCTTGTTGCTTCCAAGTATACATCGTTGTGATTGCATCAGTGATCAGATTGGCGATAATGAAGCGCCAATGGATTTAACAATAATTCCCGCTGATTTAGTCCCAAAAGATAGCCAATGCAACGAGCACATCGATAATACCATTTAAGAGATTTAAAGACTTACGCTCTTTAGATTCTTACTACGATTTATAAATTTTGCATTCGATTATAAATCGCTACTGTTGTTATATCTGAAATTATATGTGTAATACTACTAAATATTATATGTATTTTGAGAATTCTATAAGAACAATTTAAATAAAAATAATTATACTAGATATTGCAAAGGTTATTTGTCTTGCATTTAATTAATCTAATTGTATCAGATAATTTGTCACATGTATATATATGTGACGGTAGCAATGGTATGAAATAATTTCAGCGTAGGGAATAAAGATTGAGGCAATATAAAGTAATGAGGGCTTTTTCCGATCTCTGCGTCGTTAAACTCGAGTAGAGATGGATTAGATCCTGTTCGCGGATAGTCTAATTGTACGTACTTATACATTCATTGATCATGATATCCGTATTATATAACTTATCAGTGTAATTAATTTAATGAAAATCGTGATTGGATATTATACCATCGATTCTTTACACGTGTAATTAAAATTAATGACTTTTTATTATGTGCCGCCTGGCTGAACTCTTCTCATGGATGACTGATGATAAACGGGCGAGCAAAACATTTTCTACGTAAGTCGATATACTTCAAGTGATTATCAAGTGACTTTTCCAGAAAATTTTTTTATTAATTGTACTTTTAATTTTATTTATTTGATTGTTAGGCATGAGATTATTGTTATGTATACATATATACTCAACTTATGTTTCAATATTATTAATTCAAATTAAAAAATTTTAAATAAGTATAAGAAACTTGACAATTCTTTTTATTAATACCAAGCACTAATTTATAAATACATAAAATTTTTTCGATAATATGCGATATAAATAAAATAGGAACTAGAAGATATAAAAGCCAATATACAATTTTACTTTGATTTAATGCGATATGAATTTCTGGCAAAAATTTGTTACAAAACTTTAGAGATATATATGTATACGATGCGAAATGGTTTAAACAGGAATTCATTTGTCGTAGCACAGTGACCTAGAGAGACATTTCTTTCTCGATTATAATTATGCTTAATCAGACAGAGCAAGTACAATTACTGTCTTGAGCGTGGTTATCGTCTACAATGATATTAGTCGCTAAATTATATACCATCTATTAACATTGCGTCACGTTCCGCTGGCATGCAGACGATGCTTCAATTATGCAAGGTCGTAATCTAGATATGTTTAAAAATGTAGTATAGTTAATTTTACTGACAGTAAATAAATGTCTTCACACAAATGTTAAAGAAAATGTGAATATTTTTTGTTCTCTTAGAATTTTTATGTAACATTTTTATATTACAAATGTAATAAAATTTACGCACGTAATTTAAATATAATCGGAACAGTTATTGAAACATATTTAGATTCTGTCTAATTTTCAGCAAATAAAACAAATCTATATAATATGTGCTATAAACAAAAAAGAAAATGTTAATATTAAAAATGACATAAAACTTTTAATAATGTAAGAATAAAGTTTATGCAGAACTCTATTTTGTGTTTTATTACAATGACGTTTTATTTGTAGTGAAGTTTTAGAGTTAAATTTTCTATTTTTAACGCTCAATTGCAATTGAATATTCACATAAATGCTAGTGAAAGATTATTATCTATATGCTGCGGATTAGTAATAATATTTTATACAGAAAATATGTTTAAATATATAGGTAATAAAAACAATATATAAATTTTAATATTTTTCTTTTTAAACGTACATTATCGTAAATAAAAACTGTTACACTTTTCTATGAATTAAGTTGAAAACTTTTTTGAAAATAGATATAAATATTTTAAAAAATCCTACAGCAAATTTTTAAGAATTATTGCACTTTAAAAGCAATGTCCTAATTTTAAAAGCGACGTGGCATCCAGAACGGATATCGATGATGAAAATTGATATTAATGACGAATTCGTCTTGTCAAATGCATGCGATATACAAAAGATGCGTCGATTAGAAAACACGAGGATGGCACGAGGCTCAAATTTCCTTACGTGTCCTGTACGAAATCACTTCCCTCTTCGTAATACCGGTGTACCGATACGCCCGCGGGAACGGCACTAGGCCAAAAGAGCGTGGCACGCTCTTATGGCGCGAAATTACATTGGGGGCTAATTGCATGGCGGCGGTAGCGCAAACACGTGTCATCAGTCGACCGCCACTACCATCAACACTACCACTACCACCAT